ATTGCTCATTATTTTGAAAACTTGGCAGCTTGTCCTGTATATTGTGTTACAGTTTGAGAACATATAATGTGGACTAATGGTTAGAGAAACCCTCCTTCAGACAAGACAATCCCAGCTTTACTCACCAAACCCCAGCCTTCGTTCTCATTTTTAGAGTCATCTCTGAGGGAGATATTTAGTTAAATAATTGATGAATGATGAAGGCTCACACTCTGCCCTTGCAACACTCCATCTTCTTACTAGGTCCAGGCAGAATAAATTAGCCTGACACTGTTTTAATGAGGCAGCAGGGACTCAGCCGCAGAAATTTAAGCAGATATATTTCCAACAGGTCACACATATACAGCCGTTTCCTGTGTTCAGCAAGTTGACCAAGTCCTGTCTGTCCGTTAGCAGCCATTTGTCTTGTGTTAGCTAAACCAGCCACTCAGTTTAAACACAGGAGCACAATAATTAGATGTCTGCAGCAGCTCAGATTCAGTTGGCGTGAATGACTCACAGACTTGGTTTAGACTGGAAGAATTTATAACAGAGGAATTTCCCCATTGTGGGATCAATAAAGTCCTACCTAGCTACCTACCTAACCGAAGTCCTGCTGGAATCCTTTTTAGAGATGGAAAGTTGTATCTTTGACCCAGTGGCCACCCATGTTGTGTGTATTCCAAGATTTAATGACCTGACTCAAGCAGGTGTTTCTTCAAATGGAAATAATGTGTGTTTTATTTTGTCAGTGTTTCTCTTTCAACTCAGTATCTTCACTCTTAGCTGGTGCCTGTTTGTTGGTGATTTGCTCTTCTCTCTGCCTTTCCTCTGTCTAACTGTGTGGCCTGTATCAGCGTGTGTGTTATTCTTAAATTATTTTTAATCAACAAAAATTTTATTAACTAATTTTGACAAATGTCATGATTTGCTGCTTTTATATGTTTTAAATCGCTGAAAGTTAAATATCTTTGGTTGCTGGACTGTTATTTCAACAAAATAAGCTCCTTGAGTTTTGGTTCTGCTACTTGGGCATCTTTTACTCTTTTATAACATTTTATAGATTTTCATATTAACAGATTAGTCAAAAGAATAGTCAATACAAAATAACTATTAGATGCAGCTTTATTATTGTATATTATCCATCTAATTTCATTATTTCTAATTTCCTCTAATTTCATTATTATCTCTCATTAGCGGACTGTTCAGGTCCCATATATCGAAGCCGAGGGCTGTCACGGAGGCCGGCAGATATCCCGCCCATTGATCCTGCTGTCCTAGTGGATCTTCAGAGACACACCCAGGAAGTGGCGCACAGTGTGGAGATGATGATGCGGAGCCTCAACGGAACCATCCAGAACGTGAGTCTGTCTGTGTTCAGATGAGCCAGTTCAGTATTTTTCTCTCTATTATTGTCTCTCTCACTCACATATATTTCTCATCCATGTGTTTGTTGTTTCTCTCTGTGTAATTGATTGATTGTCTCTGTGTATTTGTTCATTCATCCAGATGACAGCTCTGAGTGTGGGCTACATCCAGACCTACAGAGACTCAGTTGACAGCCTGGGAGAGTCTGTGGACATGAGTATAAAGGTAACATATTGTGTGTGTGTGTGTGTGTGTGTGTGTGTGTGTGTGTGTGTGTGTGTGCGCTCTTTAGACAATACGTACAC